AAAAAACCGTGAAAATTCGCTATCGAACGATACTAAAATTTTGTCTATATTCTTCATAAAACGAATTGTCTTTTTTAACAAAAAAACTTATTGTACTAAAAGTCGTAATAAATAGCGTAAGCACGTTTATATTCATAACAAGTATCACGTAAACATTCTATTTATGTATCTTTATGCTATTGGGATCAAATAGCTGGTAAATACAGGATATCTTTAGTAGTTTCAAGTTCAAGACAATTTCCTCGTCTTTCAACGAATCCATCTGATAGCTGTTGTTGTCTGTAAAAAAAATTTCTCTTGTAAAGGTACGTTAAATAAATTTGATGCTTTAAATATAATATAATATAATTGATATTGTTATAAAAAATTGAAAAAAAAATTAATTGAGAACAGTTTACTACGAATCCAGGTGATTCTACAAAGATCTGCCTTTGTCAGATTTTTATTGGAAAACAATTTGTGTTAGAAAAGATGTACACGGACAAAAAAAAAATAATGACACTGGGCTTGGGATTAAAATCAAATATTTTTAATACTTTCAAATGCTTAAGCATCCCCATAATATTTAGTAATATATGTTCTCTATGGATATTTCAAGGCTCTAGGGCAATTTTAAACTAAATTACAACAAAGAAATACATTTGAAAAAAATAAAACTATTAATGCGTAAATTTTCTCATTTTTTTTTTTTTTTAAATAAACTACAAGGAAATTGAGAATATAATGGCATTGTTCATCCATCGACAACGATCGATAACGTTTGCTTTTAGAAGAGGTGTGTAACGTGTAACATTCGTTAAATATATGTATATTATATTATATACACTATGAAATATATATATATAAAATGTTTTTGCCACATGAACACTTTTCGTCGCGCGCCAAACTGGTAGGCAATATATTATTGTCTACAGACAAGGGGTCAGTTCGCCGACGATTTTCAACAAAATCGAACAACCGTCCTAAAAATTAAACTTATAAAATGTAATTACAACACAATATAAACTAATAACTAAGTCAATCTCCATTTATTTTTAATATTATGACCCAATCAATCACTACGCTCCAGAGCTGCGGTAAATTATATTCAAAATAATCCACCCTCTTCCCTGAATATTTTATATTTAACGTGTCACCCCCTGTCACGTTACAGGTGCTATACATTTAATTGTCACATTTTCAACATCAAAAGATCAACAATCACATTAAAATTTTCATTTCAAGTCAGTTTAATGAGAACAACAATTAAGGAATAGTTGTTATCATAATTATCTTTATACCTATTATATTTATGAATCATACCCGTTCGGGTACGTTTCAGTTTAACTAAAAAAAAGCCGGGTGACTTCAGGCAGTTATAGTTGCGGGTGAGAAGTTGAAAAGGTAGTCGCGGAGAAATTCAATGTATATTTGTAAGAAGCGATAAACCATTGATAACAAAAAAACGATTCTGAGCGGAGTTTAGTTGATAGGGTATCAGCTTTATGTTGAATATAAATATGTTAATTTGTTTCCATGATATTTTCCTAAACATTAAAATTCTTATGCATTTAATATATTACTGTGTAATATTACTTTTAATCATGAATCATACCTATTTCGACATAGTAATACGACTTTGAAGAGACTGCAAATGTTTTTTGATGGCTCGTATGATGTAGTGACTGATACCTAAAAAAAAGAATAAAGACTAAAATTACCGACAGTTTTATTTTGAAAACAATATAAATTTATTCCACCCATAAAAAGTATTGCTTGTATTGGAGCAACCAGTGTTGTGTTATTATTATAGTTACTCATCAATTTATTCTTGATCCAGAACGACAAATAATAATATGAAAACTCCTATGTATAAAACAAATTATCGGGTACATTCGTTAATATCGGAGACACGCACGAGGTTTTCATTACAGCTGTTCGCGATCCATAATCATTTACTTGACTCGTAATTTTCTTTGACCAACAAAACCCATGCCCATTTATTTTTATAATTAAGTAGGTATATATGTCTGTCTATAAATTATAGGTTTGAAGAAAAAGTTATTAATTTAGGTTTATGACATTTTGTTGTGTCCTAGTAGGTATAGTTACACATATTTTATTTAATAGATATCAATAGCTATAACAAGTTTTATTTTAGATTCTGAGTGGAGCAAAGAAGTTTATGGTTTTACAAATATGTTAATTTGTATTTTATTTTTTTCTGGGGACAACATAGATGTATACATTAAATTCTCATCTGTATTCTACTTTCCCAACTTCCCATCTAAGCCAATGGTTGCACCCGTTCCCATTATCTTACCTTTTTAAAATTAAAATTTTTTATATCGTAACATTTTAATAAATTAAAATTATATACATTTTTTAAGATTTCAACTAGTTCCCTAGACTGTTAAGTTGTGGCTAATATATGTTCCATAAGACATTTTTACTTTGATATTTTTTCTATTAATAACATCAAGTATTGCATATATACGGCATCTGTATGGATTTGTCTACTTCTTTCAAATTGTTAACAACCGTATAAAACACTGATAGCAACTCGATTATTACAATATTATACATATATAAAAATGTTTAACTCCTCATAATTTATATTTGTATATTATAAATTAATTATTTCTATAATATCCATCATAAATCGATCAGAATCGTTTATTCAAAATTTAGCAGGTTTTTAAATGTCGAGCGTAGCGAGTGAGCTATAGGTTTTACTTTTATTTTATTTTTTTCCTAATCTGTAGATACGTTTTTCCTAGTAAAATTGTTCCGATTTTCACTTATAGTAACTTTTCTGAAAGCTCGAGTTGTCTAGACGGTACTTTAGAAACACTGAAGGAAAAAATAAGAATTAAAACTTAAAGGTTCAAATTTTGAAGAATATCGTAAAAATAACGGGATTTCAGAACATGATGTTTAACCAAACTTTGCCAGAAACCTAAGGAATTTTAATTTTCGGGAGTTTTTTTGCTGTAGTTCGGTTATAAATTCACGTAGAGACTTTTTACTAGAAATTTGGTTCCAATTTTTTTCAAGTGTATTACTTTTTTGAAAAAAAGTTAGATTTGAGTGTAACTTTACGGAGGTCATTTTTTAATTTTCATTGGGGTTTTCATAACAAATGGCAAAAACCATAGGAAAACTGAAAAATTTACGAAATTCATTATTTTTAATTTTTTTTAGATTCTTGATGGAGCGAAGAAGCTTATGGTTTTATAAAGATGTTTATTTATTTTTTTTTTTTTTTTATGTGGACAATTTTTTTATCAGTAATTTTCCTCTAACTTTTAATGTTAGTAATTTTTCTAAAAGGAAATTTCACTGATATTTTAAAGAGGTCATTTATCGATTTTCTTCGGAATTTTCTCAATAACTGTGAAAGACTGGGAAAAAACATAGGAAAACCATGAAAAACATAGAAAAAACAAGGATATCTTGTGCTATTATTATGTTAAAAATATTTACAGAAACTGGAAGTTTGTACTGAACAGTAATATTTGGTTTTTTTAGACGTGGTAATATTTTAAGCTATTCATAGACACATTAATTTTGAGTTTTTGACAAAATTTTTATTCGGTAGGTAGTCTATACAATAAAATTGTTAGACCAAAGAGCAATGTTTGAAAATTTAACTGAAGTTCCATTATAAATCTTTCTTTTTGGTAAAAAAAAATAAAATAGAGTATAATACAGATTTGTTTTTGTATACAAATGTTATCGTAAATATTTTGGCCCTTTAGAATATGTGTATCTGAACTCCGCTCAAAATCTTATTTCATTGCATATAAATATAAAATAAACTCCCTTGTATATCAGACCTTCCAAATTTCCCTCTTGCAACATTGTCCCACCCATCGTGCAAAGTATGTTTTTTTATTTACTCTTTGTAGAGATCATACGTTTATTAGTGAAGTGGTAAGATGAAGAACTTACTCACTGTAGTACACTTACATATCTAGGCGTGACGTTTTGGATAGAGCACTAACATACGAAATTCATTGCAAAAATACCAATACCAAGAAAATCAATACCCGGAACGGTTTGATACGGAAATTAACAGGATCAGCATAGAATACACAACCGCATTCGTTACGGGTCTCAGTGATGGCTCTATGTTACTCAGCATGAGAATATGCATGCCCGGTCTGGGGAAACTCAACACACGCAAAGAAAGTAGATAGTGCCTTAGATACAACATGCCGGGTAATCATAGGGTACCTTAGAAATACACCAATAGACAAAGTTTACCTGCTATCAGGTTATTCGCCATCTTCGGTCCGACGTTTTATATCTACTAAAATAGAACGTGTTAAACATATAAGGGACACAAGACACTCTATGTACGGTAAAAATGCTCCTACTTTTCGTTTAAAGTCAAGAAAGTCTTTCCTGAAGATGACTAAAAAGTTATCGGAAACACCCTTAGAAAGCAGGCTATATGAGTGGAAAAAACTACTAACTGACACCATCGGTAAAAGGTGGACGGAACCATCAGAAAAATTAATTCCTGGCTACAACTTAGACCGTCCGGTTTGGACTGGAAACTGAACAGGCTACGTGCTGGTGTAGAACGGCCAAAAGAAAATATGAAAAAATGAGGATGTGGAGATCAAGATATAACACGCATATGTGGACAAGATCAGACAATGTCACACCTATTCGTATGTCCACCAGGGCCAAGCTTGTGTATACAAGAGGTTCTCATGATGAGCAACCAGAAGGCGGTAATTGCCGCTCAATACTGGGCTAAACAAAATATATAACCAATATACAATATAGGTATACAATATACAATATAACTCTACCATTATATTACTGTGTTATTTATTATTCATATTTTACTTGTTTATACTACTTATTTATTTATTTTACTCCGTGTTAGTTTAGTTTTGTCGTATAAATTACATATTTTCTTATTTTAAGTATATGTTGCCTGACACGGAAAAAAAAAACGTTCTCTTTAATACCTAATTTTGTATAAATAAAATATTCAGTACAAAAATACAAGCACGTATGTTATAAAGTAGCGACTGGAGTTATATTGTGTGATGTAGCTGATACATCGCCCCTCCCCTTGGTCTAGAACCAAGACATTTATTTATTTTTGCAATAACTTGTTACAAAAAAATATAAAATGGAAAATTATACGGAATCAACTGAAGTCGAAAATTTATCCCCATGACCAAAGGGTCATTTGCCACGCTAAAACGTTTTCAAATAGTTTTACAAAAATTAACAATAATAATAATAAAATACGAAATTTAAATGGCCTTTGTCGCGTGATGTTATCGCGCATATTTTAATTTTTCAATTGTATACGGGCCGTTATCGTTTTCGAGATTGATTTTCACGTTTACTTTGAGCGCTGGTTTTGACGATAGTTTCAAGCGCTACACGTTAGCTCGTATTTTATTATTGTAAGTAAATCCCGACCATCGGCGATAATAATAATAATAATAAAAATATGAATTAATATCGTTATAAATATTTTAATACGCTCTATTTATATTAGTAAATAGTCGTGACGGGCGACGAATACTTACATAAAAAATATTTTATGTAAATATTTTTCTTATCAATGTTAAAAAAAAATTCTTATAATAATAAAGTATTAATGTATACAAATTCGATTATTTAGTGCGATAACTGAAAGCAATATTACCTTTATTTCTCAATAATATAAAATCGTTACCGTAATCGTAAATTGTATACTATATTAATATAGTGTAGAAAATGCAAAACGGGATGAAACTCATGTGACTAAATAAATTACACGGGGCGGAATTAGTACATTAATTTTGAAAACCCGGGACGGAATAAGTACCGTATATTCTTAAATTAAAATTTTACATTCGGGTCGGAACTTTGATGCAGTCTGTACAACTGACTTGCCTGGTTTACACTCGACTTACTTGATTTTCGGATTATTCCCACCGCCTGTACAATTATACTATGTTGGTACGTACCTTGTAAGTATGACGCAATGAAAATGTTAATACTAAAATCGCGAAAGAGTGAAAAAAAAGACGGATATACTTCGCACGATAGGTGGACTACTGTTATAATTGAGAAGTTGGGAAGGTAGGCTATAGAGGCGAATTTAATGTAGGTCTGTACGCAACTATTAACCATTATTAACGAAAAACGATTCTGAGCGGAGTTCGGTAGTAAATGTTTTGAAAAGCCGTATTATTTAAGATTTTCGTCAAAACTTGATACTGAAATTCTTAAAAAGAAAAATAATATATTGAACTCAATATTTTCTTGTTGTCCAAAGTACAACTTATAATGAATCTATGTTAAATTTTCAAGCATTTCAGTTTGGTTTAATAATTTTATCCACCAAGTACCTACCGAATAAAAATAGCTCAAAAATGTTAAAATTGTTAAAATAGTTTGAAAATTTAACTACGTCTAGAATAGGTAAATACCTTTAACTTCTCTGTCAACATTTCAAGTCTTTATGAATGTATTAAACTAAATTGTACATTAAAAAAACACAATTTAAAATAATAAAAACAATATTTTCGTACATTTTCCCGTTTTTCTTACGTCTCTTTCCGGTTTTTCTCTATTACTATAAAATCATCTTGGAATATCAAAAAATGTCCTCCTTAAGTACCAACAAGACAAAGTTTTCTTTCGGAAAAGGTGATAAACTTGATATTCGAAGGAAGATTTTTGATAGAAATTATACACACAGTAGAAAAAAAAAAATTAAATATGATTGTAAAACGAATACATTCCTCGCTTCGTTCAAAATCTAAAATTACTTACCTATTACTTGGTTTTTTCCGCGATCCTTCATAATATTTTGCTATTGCATTGTCAGCCGGTAGTTGTTTTTGGGGATTTAGGCGTTTGTAACAATAGTTATACATAATTATTATAATATTATGTATGATACAGATTAAGTTATATCAGTTATTGTATAGTAATAGACTCACTGTTTCCAGGTCACGTTTTGCCGTTAAATCGTTTTTATCTGTCTACCTAGGTTTTAATCCCCGAACCAACAGTTTTACCACCGTATGCATACACAGCATCATTACGTAATACACACTGTATATGTAGGTATCAATAAACTGGTGGCAATAGCGTGTAAATATTCTGTTACCTATTTAAAATCATTTTAACAACGGTGTAATCCGTATAGATGATTATCAATATTTTATAAAAAAAATGTACAATACCCGCTATTTACAGACAGTTACGCATTATGTATTCAGTGCATGGCGTGATATGATATTTTAACAACATCAAAACACTTAATCGGGTTATAATCCATTCTTGCAGTGCTTCTTTAGTTATTACAACTTCATAATCCCTTCCACGGTATGTCCTTGGGGAGGTTGTCGATGGCCTACCTACGCATACGCATACACGTACATATTATCGCTCTAGTCGCAGCCCATTTTGTGCACCGCACGCAGTTTCGTGTCAAAACGTCATTACCCACTAATAAGCTTCCGGTGTAGTGGAGCTATGTGTTTCATGATCATATTCGCGCGTATAGAATTCCGGTACATTTTCCGCCATACGCTAGTTGTAGGCATAGGCTATAGGTTTGACCTTCGGTTTTTGTTATAATATTGGTTATTACGTTAGTTTACACGCGCGTATCGCAATACTTCGGATGACTGTGTGCGCGGTAGCGGCGAATCAAAAACATAACATTCGGGTACCGACGTAACTTGTCGAAAACTGTGGCGGTAGCGGTTTCCGGAGGGTCACGCGGTGTCATTCGAATTCCGATTCTCCTCGCGACATACGAGACAAAGGTATCGGAACACACGAGGCATGCGAGACCGTGAGACGAGCTTTGGGTGGGGGCGGGTTGGATTATGGGCAGCCGGCAGAGGCCTGCAAAGGGCAGTTCGACCTCGAATTTCCCGATAGGCCGACGGCTGTTTCAGTGCTGCAGCGCGGTACAATAATTATTGACTGGCTATTGGGCGATTTTTATAGCGAATAACTGTGTACCGGGTTAATAATATTATTATCGTTTTATTTAATCGAATTATCGTGTTTGTGTACACATTATATAACATGGGTCGGTTTCTCGTTTCTCTAGGTATTTTTTTTTCTTCTGATAGGTAGAGGTACCTACTTACTTAATATTAGAGTCATGCGGGTCACGGTGAAATCCGTACACTGTCGTAGTACAGCTGATCATAATTTTATTAACTGTCCCAACTGTAATAATATTATATAGTTGCTCGGGTACATCAAACGTGCCGGACAGAACGTGCTATTCGAATCGTCGTTACCCACGTACCCATCATCAATTCGACGCCTTCGTATTATGGTTATTGAATATTTATCTTTATCTGTATATATAAATTTGTATACTCGCGTTGATATCGATATAGCCGCATAAAATATGCAGTGAAAAAAAAAAAAAATGAAAATGTTCAGAAATGCGAGATTTTAATCACTGCAATACTAAAGGCTATATATCCTGAAGAGGTCGTCAGAATAGAATTGGCCGTCTCTTTCATTCTGATGGTCGATAGGGAGATGTAACACAAATTTGTTTTCGGAGTTCCAACGGTAATCTGGTTCAATTAAGTACTTCTAATTAGGGTAATGAATTTCTAAGTGTATGAAATACTTCACATGAAATTTTCACACTTTAATTATTTAAAAATACGTTTTTTTTCTTCTTTTGAATGTTAGTTGTTTCTTATAGTTTGGTTTTGTATTTTATTTTATAAAGTCATAGTTGAATAATATTGTATTGTATCGAATTCGTTTTAAACTTTGAATATTTTATTAGTTAATCAAATTGACACTGTGCCGTAATGTCAACAATTAAAACCGAATAAACTATTTGTTAAGACTATATTTTTTACTGTAGATATTTTAAATAGTTTGTTAACGACTTTTAAAAATCTACGGGTAAATCACTACCGTCCAGTGCCAGTAGATGTTTGCGGTGGTTACTATTTGAGTTTTGAATTTTAATCAAATTACCTATATGAATTTTTTTTTTTTGTTTTTCATCAAATTTAAACTTAATAGTTCCGTGAAATTTTAGAATTCTTACTATCTATCGACTTAAAAACGTTCTCACTAAATTAGAAACGTTGATATATTATTATATTTCCGCCGAGGGATTGATTGATACCTAATATCCTGAGAAATTATAGAATTTTTTTTTATCTTAATAAAAAACACTTATTTTGAACATATAAAAAATCCCTTTAGGTATGAGTACCGTGTACCAATTATTAGTTTATAGTGTTCAAAATTAAAAAATATTATCGAGTATGCGATACATGTCATCAAAGCGCCGTGATAATAAGGTAATTTATTATTCAGTGTATAAACTATAATATAATAAAATCGGTACCTACCATAGTTATATGTTTAATGTACCTACATAATTTGATACTAATTTACGTGGTTGTATTAAAATTAAATTTATAACCCCACGGCATGTAGGAGTTGCACCGAAAAACCAAGTCGTCTGATACACTGGCGCCCCTTTCCGTTATATACCTATCGAATTTTCACGTTTTTTACAATACTCTGAATACTCAAAT